CGAAGCCCTTCGGGAAGACACCAAACTCTCCTGCTGCCTTTGCTGCAGGACAGAGACCTGCTGCCATCTCACACGCTCAGATGGGCATCCGGGTAGAGGCCAAGTCCAATGTCTGCAGGTGATTCAAAACACCCAGAAGGTAACTCCTTTTGGGATTCCTATTCCTCGTTTTGCCCTCCCTACACCTAGCCAAAGTCCCTGGTATCTGCAGAGCAAGAATCGCCTTGATCCTCGCATTTTGTGCAACGCAGCTTAAAGACAGCAACGCTCATTTCCACGGTGGCTTACAACTAGCGTGCAGCTCCCACGCCTGGACCCACGGACACATTTGTGACTACCTTCACGTGCCTGAACCTGCCTATTGTGGTCAACGCACTTGAGGTACCTCCATTATTCACAGCATCGGGTGCACTGCTGCGTGGCTGGGCTCCCCCTCACTCATCCGGTGAGCAGTAGCTGGGTGGTTACTCGTTTTGTGCTCAGGAATACATGCAACAAGATGTAACCGTACAAAAGGAGTCAGCTGGAAGGGAAGAACACCGTGCACTTGCAATTTCACTCCTGCCTCGGGGGAATTAGAGCCACTCTTAAACATGACTTTCCTAATGTAGTTATGCTAAAAAGCCTCTCTCAGCGAGCTGGAAAGACTGGTATGTACATAAGAAAGCAGTTGATTTCTATCAAAACCAGATTCAGACAAAGAGCATGTGTTCAGGAGAGGAGATAAGATAAGGCAAGGGTGGTTTTACTGATCTTTAGACTTCTTTTTTCCGTCGGATAGGGGAAGCTCGTGAATGCAAAGCAAACTGTGCAGGTGTTTGCAATGCTTAACCTGCTTTGCCCTCCAAGGAAGGCAAACGTAACACCCGGTTGTCTGCAGACGTGTTGGTTCCTCTAATTACAATGTCATACTAGGCCAAGTGCACTTTTGCCCCAAATAGATGCAACTCTTGATGTCGCTCATGGGATTACAGGATGTAACGTAGGCTTTCGTGTTGCATGCATTTGCTTTTCATGTGGGGGGTAAAGGTTTAATTTTAATAGACATTTTCGATTGCTAGTTCTGTTCTGGTAATAGGAATGAGAAAAAAATGGCATCTTTCACAAGAGCCGTTGTGTCGGGTTGCAACGCTGGGTGATGATCAGTCAAAGAGGGGGCAGCAATCAGACATTTGTCAGGCTGTTGTGCAAGGCTTTTACGTGCCACCCAGCTAATGTCCCATGTAAGGAATCCGTACACTCCTGCTTCCTGGCTTGAGACAGCCTGCGTCTTTCAGCCATGGACAAGTTTTTCCTCTGTGGCTGGTCATCTACACGGAGGTAGATCTAAGAGCGCTCAACATCACCCCTTCCCCTCCTTAACTGCCCGCAGGGAGGAAGCCAGGGAGAAGGGCCTTTTCTCTGCTGGCCACTGGAGTGATTCGAGACCTTCCCGGCCGATTAGACATTCTTCTCCGCTCGTCATTTCCCCTCATGTGTCCCCAAATTTGCCTTCTCGAGGTATTTAGGGTCATTCTTCCTCTTCAATAGGTCCCCCACACAAAACAGTGGGCCTTATTAAGGCCTTGTGTATCTCTTCTACTGGGCACTGCTCACCGGTTCCTTGGAGATAAAAAAAATCTCTGTGGAGAAAAGCAGCGGGCGTTCCCCCTCTCCCCACGTGCCTTAAATTCCTCCCTCCTGATGCGGGTGCAATTTAAATAGCCGGGACCAGCTTTTCGGATTTGCACCTAAGCCCTCTGCCTGGCACTAACGAGGGCTGGGCCCAATTATCTGGGAGTGCTGCCACAAAGCTATCAAATAAAAAAAACGCATCAAGCCACACGCACCCATGCAAACCCAGCGGCAGCTCAGCCCCCTGCTAACGCCAGGAAACTATCACTTGAGCGCCCCGGAGCAGTAATATCGTCCCCCTTCGCAAGCAAGGAGCCCAAGGGTTTAGCAAGCACCGCACAGTTGAAGCAGGAAGAGGAAAAACCAAGGCATAAAAGCAAGCCCATTAGATGGGGCTCCTGCCCCCGCGTGCTGCCCACTGCCCTCCTCTGGTGCGCCCCGCTCACAGCTGCTGTCCAGGGTCCACGCGTCTCCAGGCTGCCCCGGCTGAAGATGCTCAGCCCTGCCAATATCCCTCAGTCTCCTCAACACCTTGCCAGGTGCCCGGGGGCTACCACGGAGGACTGCTCCGGGCATGGCCTGTCCTGGCTGCTGACACCTTTCTCCCTGGTCACGGCGTCTCCCTGAAACCAGGGGGACACCTCGGCATGTCACCCTCTCCCCTCACATGCCAAACTTGGCGGTGGCCTGGCAAAGCTGCCGCAAGCTGCTCCCGCCGGAGTTAATGGAGGCCCGGGAGCAGCTCCCGGGGCCTTTCCCCTGGCTCCCCCGCAGCGACCCCTCCGAGCTGGGACCTCGTTCGCTGCCGGAGGAGCTCCCCATTTGCAAGGGCCTCGGGGTCTCCCGCCCATGACCTGGCTGAGACGCAGGAGATTGGGAGCCCTCAAGGAAATGGGGAGAAAAAGCAGCGATGATCAACCCCGCGGCGTGGTTGGAAACCCCTCTCCAACCCTCTCCCTCGTGCTCGAGGGCCGGAGATAACCATGTCCCCAGGGCTGCAGCCTGTAACACATGGGGATCCCAGCACAGGGGCAAAGCACTGTCCCCGCCATGCCCTCCCAAGAGAGCAGAGGAGGAAGCGAGTGTGACAGGCCCGCTGCAAGACGCTGGCCCCAATCCTGGGAACATCTAGACACGCAGTTTGCTTCGCACACCTGGAGCGATTCCCACTGGCCCGTCAGCGCCTGGCGCCTCCGGGTTGTCCAACACGAGGGCTGGAAGGGACCTCGGGAGGGCGAATCTAGTCCGACCCCTGCTCCGAGCAGCACCAGCCCCAACTCCCTCGTCCCAGCCAAGGCTTCGTCTGCCCAGGGCTGCAACCCCTCCAAGGACAGCGATGCCACCCCCTCTCTGGGCAGCCTGCTCTCGTCTAGCCGAAACCTCCCTCGCTGCAACTGGCCCCCGCCACCCTGAGAACGGCCCTGCTCCCCTCCAGGCGGCCTGCGCGGCATGTCAGCGAGGCTGGGACCGGAGACCTCTTGGCTCTCGTCATGCCAGCAGCCAACCCCCCAGGGACACAGGGGGAAGGAGCCTTTGTCCGGCCCCCAAAGCAGGGGACAGCTTGAGTGGCCTCCGCCACCGCCTCCCCGCGTGCCCCGGGCACATCACTTTGCCCCCTGCCCCCCACCTGCCCGGGGAGGGGAGGCGTGGGCTGCAGCCGGGCTCGGGGGGCGGTGCTCGGGGCAGGCCGGCCCTTACTGGGGAGGGGCCAGCCAGGCCAGGCTCGCTCGCCCAGACAAAGCCTCGCCGGTGCTGCCGGACCTGCCCCGGTAAGGGCTGGGGAGGGGATGCTGTGGGGCTGGAGGAGGGAAGGGCCCGAGCCTGGCCGCACCCGGGAGGAGAGGGGCGGGGGGACCCTGGTCGGGCACGTCTCCCATGGGACGTGCGCTGGGAACGTCCCCCCAAACCGCATCCTTTTCGCTGGGACCCGCACGCCTCGCTTCGGCTGCTTGTTGGGGTGGCCGCACTTCGTTGCAGAGGCTGGCGTGGGTCCGTCCCGTGGGAAACAGGGAGCCGGGCTGGCTCAGGAAGCAGCGTGGCTAGCGGTTGCGGTTGCGGTTGCGGCGGGGGCTGGCCCGCCACTGCCTGGGCCCCAGTCCCCGCTCTGGCCCTGGGCGCTGCTGAAGCCAGCGTTTTCCAAGAGCAGCTGGCAGGGAGAGAGGCGCAGCTGGATGGATGTCTGGGGGTCTCTGGCTCCTGAGCTCGAGCCAGGGGTGCCTGCCTGGAGACACCTGGCCACTTTGGCCTTGATCTCTGTTCCCGTCCTGCCCTAGTGCTGTTAAATACTTGCCCACCTCGGAGAGAAGCGCCAGCTTCGCGCTGCTGCTTGTCCGCACGTGCAGAGCTCTGCACCGGAGGTGAGGCAAATGTCAGAAACAAAGCAGATGCTGGCTCGGGGGTTATATTTTTAGACCTGCCATTGGCAAGAGCAGAGCAAAAGCATTTGCTGGCTGGGACTTCTCGGTCGTCAGAGGTCTGTTGTTATTAGGTAGCCTCGGTTGGAAAGTAATGCACTTCCTTGCTTGGGAGCCAAGGGCAGGCGTCACGAGAGCGGTAAGCAAAGAGGGAAGAGCTGACGGGCAGGATTTCTTTAGGGAGGGCAAGTCTTTTAGCAGACTCCCCTTCTGTGCTGGTCACCGGAGAGACCCACAGGACGCCAGCCACGAGCCACAGCAAAACAGGGAGCACGCAGAGAGCCAGCAGCATCAATGTTGCAAGGGGACCCGGGCTGAACTCTGGCTGCTCAGCCAAGAGCCTCATCCCGCAGGCACTCGACGGCCCTTCCCGGGAAGCCCTGGGAAAAGGGGCAGGGCCAGCTGAGCTGGGATTAGCCCCTCGCATGCCAGGCACCGGCCACGGTGTCACCAGGGTGCTAGCAGATCTGTCCCTAGCTGCTGTTGGGACAGACCTTTCTGCCCCAGTTACGTGGCGTCTCTGCGTATGGGGCGGCAGGCCAGTTGTTCCCATTGCTCCCGTTTCCACCCACCCTGCAGTGCCGACCGTGCCCTCCACGCCCTCGGCTCTGTGCCGGCTTTTCCTCCTTGTCCGCATTCCTCCCCAGCTTCTTCCCCCATCCAGGATCCCTTCCTGTCCTAACTCCACCCCGCCCCACATTTCTGCGCACGTCTCCTCCTCTGCCCCCGCACTCGCGCTCGCACCCCTGGACCCGCTGCTCAGCCCCGGTTGCAGGCAGTGGGAACGATGCATAGGGCCTCTGCATCTCCCCAGGGGTCCACGGTGTTGGGGGTAGGACCCACGTCGCCGGTCTCCAGCCTCATTGCTCCGATCATCGTGACTGAGGCAGCGGCTTCGGCCTGGCTGCTCGTGGGTCTTTGCTTGTAGCTCAGAGGATGAAGCAGGGCTGGGACACCTCTCCCAGTGTCATACCAACCTCCCTCTCTTTTGTCCTCCCCAGGTCTCAGAGCCATGAAGCTGAATGAGCGAAGCCTGGCCTTTTACGCCACCTGCGACTCCCCCGCCGACAACGCCGGCTTCCTCTACAAGAAGGGCGAGCGCAACACGGCCTACCACAAGCGCTGGTTCGTGCTGAAGGGCAACATGCTCTTCTACTTCGAGGAGAAGGACAGCCGGGAGCCCGTGGGCGTCATCATCCTGGAGGGCTGCACGGTGGAGCTGTGCGAGGCCGCGGAGGAGTTTGCCTTTGCCATCAAGTTCGGCTGTGCCAAGTCGCGCACCTACATCCTGGCGGCCGAGAGCCAGGCCGCCATGGAGTCCTGGGTCAAGTCGCTGTCGCGGGCCAGCTTCGACTACATGCGCCTGGTGGTGAAGGAGCTGGAGAAGCAGCTGGAGGAGATGCAGTGGGGCCTGGCCGGCTGCCGCAGAGTCCATCGGAGGTCGCCCATCTACCGGAAGGGCAAGCTGGCTCTGGGACCGGACCCTGCGGCCATAGCTGTGGAGCTGCCGCCACCCCAGGAGAAACCCCCGGGCCCGTCTTGTCCCTCCCTGAAGGAGAACGGCTGTGCAGTGTGGAATAACACCCAGGGCGTGCAGGACCTGCCCGACGGGGGCATCCCCGGAGGCCCTGCCGACTCAGGGAGCAGCTGTGAAGTCAGCCCCAAGCCACCTCCCTTGCCACCTCGCCGACGCGCCTCCTCCGGCAATAGCCGTGGCACGGGACCCGTGGCAGTGGAAAGCCGTGCGTGCCCAGGCACGGCGTCTTTCTCCAGGCTGCACGACTGGTACGGCAGGGAGATCATCCAGCTGCGGAGAGAGTGGCTGGAGAGCCGGAGGAGCCACCAGCTGTGACGGGGGCTCTCTGAGCAGGACGGCAAGATGGGGTTGGAGGGGAGACTCATTCGGAAACGCTGAGCTGTCTCTGCCATCTGCCTGGGTGTGAGCCAAGCCTGAGACACGCTCACGCGGTGCCGACCTGTCAGCAGGAGGGGGAAAGTCCCCGTCTCCTGTCGCACGCCTGGCTCTGGCGGGGATTTAAGCGAGAAGCTCTTGCCTTTCCCCGGCCGTCGGCAGGGTGGACGTGGCAGAGGCGGTGGCTGTTCCTGACTCTGCCTCCCGATTCCTGCCCTTCCTCCTGTGGCAACGTGTCCTGCTTGGCCCTTCTGTTGCAGGCCACCGACTTTAGGCCCGGTGGTCCAGGCTCGCGCTTGAGAAGCAACATCTCCGAGAGGTTTTTGGAGACGTCCCTCCGGGCTCCACGTCCCACGCGGACCTGCTGTGGGAAAAGCTTCCAGGTCTGACAGCATCTGTCCCTGTCCGCAGGCCTCACATTTCTGCAGCATCCGACGTGCCAGCTGCAAGGCGGGGATGAGAAGAGGGGGGTTTCTGCTGCAATCTGCTGCCACGCTGGGAGTCCGCTTCCCCGCGGCTCAGATCAGCTCTTTAGCCCGCCTGGCCCCTGCAACACTGGACGTCAGAAATATCAGGCCTGCTCAAAGCCCAGGGCCTGTCGTCATTGCTGCGGCACCGGGCAGGGGCAGATTTTCTGCATCGTTCTCAGGCCTAGGTCTCACCAAACTAAACAGCAGCCAGGAGGTGAATAGCAACGGTGGGCCAGTCTCGGTCAGGATTCAGGGATGAGGTTGGACTTCAGTGTTACGGGGCTCTGAAGAACGACATCCTCGTTGAGGAAGGATGATTGCCCCTGCGGCAGCTGAGCACCGCAGGCACACGCGAGGAGGCTTTGCCAGAGTGCGGACTCTCTGTTTCGGAAGATGCTGTTTTCTTCATCGAAAGCCATGTGTTTTCATTGCTTGTGTCATGCTCCCCTGGTTGTCCCTAGATCTTTCTGCTTTTGTCCCCCTCCCCTTGACATGGCAGAGAGGGAGGGATGCCTAGGGTTGAAGTCACCGACTTGTGCCTACCTGCAGCTTGGTTGAGCTCCTTGTTGTAAAATCAAAAGGAAGCACAATCTGTCCCCATCGGAGAAGGGCGCATACGGCAGATTCCTCCTTTCTGTTTTAAATGGGACAAAACCATGCCACAGATAAAGGCCTTCTGCAGAGGTGTCTTCTCAGAGAAGTTATTTCAGGTGTTGCCCCGGGGGTGGGAGCATCATCCTCGTTAATGGCAGCAATACGCCCCCATTTCAATTACATACCACGAGTCCCTGGAACTGGTAGGTGGGATTGCACCAGAGCAGAGTAGCCATCACAATAATACACCAAACCATGTAGCTTAACCTTTGGTAACTTTTCTTTTAAACTAAAAACCAGATGCTGTCCCCATCACAGCTCAGAAGGATTGTGTCCTTCTAGTGAACCAAAAATCACATGTTATTTTATCTCATCCCAATGAGGAACTGAAGACTTCTGATGTTTCCTTTTTTAAATTCCCTTTACTCCTGAAGCGTCAGAGGTGCTGGCTTCGTTCACTGCCAGCATCTTTTTTCCATTCCGTTCTGGGACAGGGTCTCCGTCACAACCTAGCAAATGCTCCTTTCCACTTTAACAATGACATCCAGTTCTCGGCAGCGTTGAACTATACCAAAGACTGACCGAGTGTATAGCAGCCTCCCAGGGCTTGTATCGCGAGGTCCCTTCCACACTCCTTGGGTTGGATTCCCGGTACATAGCGTTGAACAGGCCACAGCCTTTCTGCCAGAGCGGTGTATGTGCCTGCATGAGGGTGTCTTATTTATTGCTAATACTGATAGGCCGGTGGTAAGGTCTGCATTGAAACAGAATTCCTCTCCGGAGCGCTGCATCAGCGCCTGCCACACTCGACTTTCCCAGGGAAAGGAGGGCAAAACTTTCAGGGCTGAAAACACGGTGTAGCCCTTGGTGAAGGTACCTTGCAGCAGCTCGCAGGAAATCTGGTGACCTGCCTCTGTCGAGCACGCCTGGCTTTCAGGGATGTTAAAAATAGATAGGAAAACAGAGACTCTCGCTCTAGATTCATAGTGTTTCTTAGGAGCTGGCATTTGTGTCTGTCCAGGGAACTGCCATGACAAAGCCTAGCTTCTGCTGCGCAAAGTGAACGGTTAACTAGAGCCACGTGATCGAGCGACGCAGAGCTCCACTTCCATCGTATGGCAGTGGTAGGTTGACAGTGTTGCACGTGTCCTAGGAGCTGTTAAAACCCATCAGTGGCAGCTTCATCCCAGGTGTAAGTCCAGTGGAGTTACCTCCTGGAGGGATCTGACATTACAAATGCACACACTGTAGTGTAAGAGGGGAGCTCGCCTGGACTGTGTGGAAAGGGCCTTTGAAGTGGCCTTTTCAGCATAACAAACCGCATAGGTTGCCAATGGCTTCTGCCTGCCGAAGGCTACAAATAAGATCTAACTTGCAAATGGTAATGTGCTGCCCTGCAGGGAAATGCTCTGCGGGCTCACAGCCCTGGGCACGGCAGAAATGCCTGGGCAGAAGGAAACAACACTTAAGCCCTGTGTACGGCTAAGCCAAGATCCTAGCCTTGACGTCTGGGCTAGTTGTCTCTGTAAAGCGAAGTGTCATTTGCCAGGTGGGGGGAACAAAAACCCTCCTGGCAGAGAGAACAGGAACACATTAGTCAAAGAGAACGACCCGACCCACAAGCCCAGGATGCTACGTGTCGTGCTTCGTGAGCTGTGCCAAGGCTGCTACCGAGTCCTATCTAACTATGTATTTGTGTAGCTGTTTGTGCATCTCGCACGTCATTTGTGAACACTAAGACAACCCACTAGAGGACTGTGACCCACGTGAATTAGGCCGTGTTATGTATTTTGGTGGGGCCTGTCCCTCCACATGTGTTGCGCCTCATTGTTATTTATGGTGTTCCCCCCATTGTTATTTATGGTGTTGCCCCGTGGCTGTTCCTGATGTACCCCTGAATTTTGTAATTTGCAAAAGGGGAGGTTTGGCCTTGTCTGGTCCACTTCCTACCCCGTTTGTGGAAGAAAGCAGCGTCATTAAAATGCTGGATGGCCGTCGTTTCCGTTCTCAGTGGTTCTGCGCCTGGCCCTTCCCACAGAATAGATCCGAGTCCTTGCTAAGATAAAAGCTATTGCAGAAATGCTGCTTGGGTGAGTTTGCCCCTTACGTGCCAGGCTTTGCGCGTGACCTGTTAAAATTAAATACGTGCATAGGTTTTAGCTCCAAATCCTGGTCCCAGAGGAGTTCTGACATTCACTTACGTTGTACCAAGGTTTAACCTGTAGCAATTTTACACAAAGGGGAAACCACATGCAGGTATCGCAAGTCGAATGTGGGTTTACAGCTCTTCTGCTGGCTGGTTTGTAGAAACACTCAGGACTGCTGCCAGCTACAGGAACTACTGCACTAGCTCAAGCGGGGGCAGCTCAGACTTGTAATACTGAAAGTCCTTGGTGATCAGACGGCACTGATTGCCCCGGTGTGGGAGCCTTCACACTTACAGCAACGCTATCATAGAGGCTTCACAGCTTGGGCTGCGGCCACTCTGCTGTCCAGCAACTGGAGCGCAGCATTACAGCAGGAGGGGAGCAGTTAGATGTAAAGGGATAAAAAAAAGCGTTCTGTACCATGAAAACAGCTGCAATGCCATCACTGTCCATGAATACACTGATACCCAAGCACTAGAGCACTTCAGGGCACCATGGCTCTTTTCAATCTGATAACTGCCTTTTTAGCATTAGTGGATGTGCAAAGTGTAATAAACCTTGTAACCTAAACCACCCCTTGTCCCTCCGTGAAATCTCTCTGAAGTGTATTGGTGCAGGGCAGATGCAGGATGAGTTTTGTTTGCTTGGTAACAACAAGCGTGGAAAAATCGCAATTCAGAGAGCAACGTTCATCACTTTTTCTGGCTGATGTGAGCTACGAGGGGGAGCTCAGGAGATGAGAAGCCAAATGCAAAGCAATGCAGCCATGGGCTCGGGCTGGCTTGACAGTGAAGAAGGTGGATTTATTAACAGAGCTTCCCCACATGATATTTTCACACATACAAAGCATCCTAAAGGTTGCCAGCTTGGGCAATAGCAGAAGTATCATCAGATGGAAGACAGACTGTCTGCAAACACATGGCAGAGTTTATTTTTCTTTGATAATCCAAGCCTCCAGAATCAAATATTTTCATTAGCCCTCACCTTCATTAAGGATTGTGCAAACTACCAGCTCCATGTGTCCTAGGGAATACTTGCTCAAAATTCACAGCTAACAGCACTCAAGTGATTGCAAATATGTCCACAAAACCTGGCCTCCAATGTATTCATGCTTGGAAAAAATTGCTCAGCTCTTTCCTGCAGAGAAACCCCAGGTCTCTGGGACTTCAGAGCCCAGGGGTATTACACCGTGGGGACCACTGCCCAGCCAAGTGCCATGTCATGCGGATTCTGCGCCCGCTGAAACCAGTAGCAAATCTTCCATTGATTTCTGTACTGCAGGGTCAAGCCCCGGTGCAGAGGAGAGGCCTGAGCGCTCGTACGTCTTACCGAAGCCAGTGGGTGCTGAGTGGGGTCAGCGTGCCTCAGGACCAGGCCCGCAGTGAGAAAAGAGGGTGTTGTAAATGAGAAGAGCCCTCACTTACTGCAGACTGGCTCCCAGTCCTGTGTGAGGGACGCCCCAAACTAACTGGCAGCATCTTCAAAGAGCCTCTTGCCACCCCGCACAGCCCCTCGCCAACACACAGCTCGGGGGGCACGTCCACGCTCCAACCCTACGGTGCCCTCAGCAGACCCTGACCTGCGAACAAGGCAGCTAGGTGTGCACAGGGCTGCAGCTGGCCGATTAGCACGTGGTGCTAACGAACCCTGCTGCAGCGCCATGACAGCGTGGCGATGCCACTCCTGGTTCAGAAAGTCGGGGTGGCCTCGCCCGGCCTGGTAAGCGCAGGTGCACGGCGCTTGTAACTCTGTCTGGAGATGCCCTGCTGCTCCGAGAGAGGGTTGCTTTGCCTGCAGTGCCTCACCGCGGGCCGAGCCTTTGGCAGGGACTTGCCAGCAGCTCCTCGCACACAGCGCAGCAAGATTAGGCCAAAGTTTTCCAATTTTCTTCTTTCTTTATGGGTAGGGAACCCTGGCAGGGTGGTGACTTGTGGCAGCTCCTCCCAGGGCAGCGGCAGATTTTGCACCACGATCCGGACGGCGCTCCAAGTTGGTGAAAAACTTTTACCAAAGCGCCTCCACGTTGAGCGGGAGAAAAAGCTGAGGCGTTTGGACCCGCACGGCCAACGTGCTTCAACAATTCCCCCCGACGAGGCTTTTTGCTCAGTAGCATTCACTGTATTCAGCAGGTACTTCGAGTACTTCCCAAACCAGACACCTCCTGTCCTGTGTCTTTAGCCAGCTCCATCGCAGCTGAGACCTGAGTCCGGCCCCATCTCTAAGAACAGGAGCAAAATGGGGGGTGGTTTAGAAAATGCTGCTTCGCCCAGAGCCGCTCCCAGGCCCGCTGAGATCGGCAAGTCCTGTGGGCTCCCCTGGGCTTTGGATCAGGCTGCAGACGTGCTCCTTCCTCTTCCCCGGGGCTGGGAAGCAGAGCGGGACCGTGTCTGAGCTGGCAGGGCCTGTCCCCGCGTGAAGATACAGCTGAAGGACCCCATTTGCACGGGGATTTGGGGTGTAAATGCTCCTGTGATGACAGGGCACGGAGGCAGTCAGCCGTGTTAGTGCAAACTCCGGGCAGAGATGCCCCTTCCGCAATGACTAAGTCAGAGAGGTGCGAGCTCTCGCAGGCCGTCAGCATCTGATGAAGAGAGCTCAGGCTTGTAAACGCTTACGGCCTCTCTGGTTTAGCCCGTGTATAAGGTGCACCACCGCCCTGCCTTCTGGGACGGATGGTAATGCTCGCAGTGCCTCGGTTCAGTGCCCCAAACTCACCCTGGCCAACTGCTCCGTGTCCGCGTGTCTTTAACCCCCTGCTTTCCCCCGCGGCTGCAGAGGAGCGTGGTCCCTGGGAAGCACCCGGAGCTACCGCCGCTCTGCCCGTGGCGCTGCCTCCCAGCCGTCGTACCAGATTCTCCAGTGCACCGAGGCCGGACGTGCATCCACCCCCAGTTTCTTGGATCCAGCCTCCATCAGCCTGCCGGGGCAGAGATCACAGGTCTCTCTCGCCTATTGAATTGTCTTGCTTGCAATGTGGTGCCTGCTCCGTCTTGCAGGCCTGGCTGCCTCAGCTGGCCCTTTCCTGGCCTTAATGAACTCCCTCGGGTCTCCTTTCCAGTGGAATCACTGGTAATTAGCTGCCTCATAAAACAGGGAGCAGCTGGGCCCAGGCACAATGGCATGAAAATGGAGCGCTGGTCTGGGAAGTATCGACCAGCAGCGCTGAGCTGGGACGAGACGCAGGCCCTTTGCCCCCGCAGAAGCACAGGCCCTTTCCAGGGAGGAGGGGGAGGGAGGGCAGATTCGCTGGGACCCGGACCACGCACCCACTGCCCAGACCAGAGCCCTGCATCTGAGTACTTCCCGGCGTCAGGACAGACCAGCTGCGGGCTTTCCCACTTGTGTGCCATCCCAGTGCAAAGCACAGGAGAGCTTCAGCACGAATGAGGCATCCCAGGACAACTCAGCCCCAGCAAGCAGACCCCACGATGTAGTCTTAGCAGCGACGGCTCCACGACGTGCAGGTCAGCCCCGGAGCTGAGGAGCGCGATCTGCATGGCATGCGGAAGTACATGGGGCAAACACTGCTGACCCAACGCCCTGCCAACACCTGGCTTGAGCTTGGAGGGAGACGACTGTACCGGGGGTGACCAGCCCCTCTCGTGCATGGACCGGCACATCCGTAGCTCAACAAACCCGAGCCTCGCCAGGTCCTGTGGGACGCGGCGGCAGAGTAAACCATCCCAGGTGACCCAGGGAGTCTGTAGCATGGCTGGGGCTCTTGGCTGCTAGCTAAGCACTGGATCCCCAGCCCCGGCTCTCCAGGACTTACCTTGCTTTACTCTGGCCGATATTCAGGAGTGCCACTCGCTGGATGCTTTCGGGCAGCTTCACGGCACCTGGCACCCCTCATCTTCCCCAGGAAGGCAAAGACGCTGCAGCCGCATGGCTGTGATGAGAGACTGGGCCAAGGGGGAGCAGAGGACTGGAGATGGGTGCCCTCGAGCATGGTCTGGTAGCCCTGGGCTTCTGGGCTATGACAAAGCTGACGCCTCATTTTTGCACTGGCTACTGGGCACTGTCAGCATCTGCCTGCAGGGCTGAGCAGCGTCCACTGCTCAGGCCTCCCCCCACCCTCCTGCGGAGAGGATGGTGTTACTCTGCGGAGACCAAGAGATGAGGGAGGACACGGCTTACCTGAAGTCAGGCAGTGAGTCAGTGGCACAGCTGAGACTAGGATCCAGGAGTTGCGTCGGGGGCAGCGTAGCAGAGGGAATCCTGCCGCTGCTTTCTGAACGGGCACGCTGCTCCCTGCTCACAACGGCGCGAGCTGGCGGTATTCGCCGAGCGCAGAACGGTGCAGACGGACGCAGCCTGCACATGCCGACTGCCAGCTTCCCGCGCGAGGCCACGCGGCACCCGGACGAGAGCATCTCAGAGGGGAGCTGGGCCCCAGGCCCTGATTTTAGCAGAGCGTCCAGGGGCCGGCTGAACTGCTGCAGCAATGAGCCACGAGGGTCTTCTATGTGGCTGGTGGGTTGGGGCCAGGGCGGATCTGGGGGGTGCAGTGGTGCAGTTGCACCCCGCTGTGATTCCTGCTCTGCCCAAAGTTTAAAACCAACTGCCCGGCGGGGCGACATTTCTATTCTGGCATCGCTTGACTTCATGGCTTGTTCTTATCTACCTGATTCCTCCTAAACTCTTCGCTCCGCAGCTGTTAGGGACCCTCTCTCCTTTATTAATGGTTTTCATGTTCCACTCATCAAGCTGGCCTCTGTTCTGCAATGCTGCTCTTAGCTGCTCCTGGTATTGTAGCTCCTATTTCGCAGCCCCGCGGGCTGTTTTTAACTCTAGCTAAAAACATGAACTCAGGCATGGAAACGTTAACTCAGGCAAACGTTAACATTAACTCAGGCGTGGGAAGACCTTTCAGTGACACATGGGATGCATGTCAAGATGCTCAAGGAGGCTTTAGGGGTCTGAAATATTCCAATGGCTACAGGACTAAAGGAACAACAACTTTTGATGACTATTTGCCTAGCTGGTTGAGTTTTTTAATATATAATGAATGAGATAGCAAATGAATGCGCACTCCAATACAGTTCTAGTTGTCTCTGCTTCTGTGTTAAACTGAAGAGCATAGCCCTAGCGTATCAGTAACGCTTCTAGTTTCTTTTTTCCTGGAGAAAAGTGTGTTGTGCTCTATGTGATGGTGCATCGCACCTTCCTTTTCAAAATCCACAGCTAGGGCTACGCAGCAAGAACCATGTGTCTCACCCCATCTACCGAGCCGTCAAAAGCTGGCGCCTGGAGCGTGGTCTAGAAGAAGAGGGAGCCAGGCAAAGGGTGGGCGGGGCGGCTGGAGGAAACCACACAGAACACAACAAACCCATGCGCCGAAGTTATTATACAACTTCTGTATTTAGTGGCTCTTTACAGAACTTGTTCCTTTTTAAAATTTTTAACAAAGTTCATCAATCTCATAGAAACTTTTGAAGTACAGTACATGAGCCTAACAAAATGTGATCAACATGTCCCACTAGCTTTTAGTACAACAGGATTTCGGTGTTCGGAAAGACTATGCTAAGTGCTTCATCAAATCCCGTTCCACTAAAGCTAACACTAGCACACTAAGAAGAACAGTAGTCAATGCGAATGCCTAGACCTTCGATGGCGTGTTGGGGTTGAACCAGTAAAAATCATTGCGTCGGACAAGCTCTCACTTGTTTGGACAGGGCTACCGTCGCTACAACGTGGCAGGTGGGATCTGGGCCTTGCATGGAGGCGAACGGAGTTGTTTTTAAAATTGGTCATTAACTACCACCCGAGTATAAAAATACCTTCTCTTCTGATAAAAACGTGTCCAGTGGGGAACTGTTCGATGCATAGCCTCAGTGCCTGCAGGACGCGCGCTCCTGTCCTGTCGAGTGTCAGCGGGGGTGGCAGTCCGAGTGGGGTGGGGCAGTCCCTTGCATGCTGTACTTCGGCGCTTGCAAAATGCATTAAAAAAAACCCCTAAACAAAACAAAACAATACAGAGCAAACCAACACGACCCACGGATGCGTCTCTCAAAGGCATTTGCATAAGCTGGGGCTAGATCACAGGGGTGGGTAGAGAGAAATCTCAGTCCGCCCATCGCAGCAAGGGCAGGGAGAACCGCGCGGTCCAGGGGCGACTCGTAGCACGGAGATCTGGGCTCCTCTCCTTCCAGGTGGTGCCACGGGTCTGACCCGGTGCCCGCTGAAATCAGCCAGAAGACTGTCTCCCGTGGGCTTTGGGTCAGGGCCTGGGGCGCCAAGGCAGCAAGCAGCTTACAGTTCACTCTGCACATGTGATGAACCTCCCCCTTCCCCCCTCCAAGTCAAGGCACCTGCTTAAAAGTGCTTTGCTGAATTGGGGCCCGGCTCCATCACCAAGGACCCGCCACCGAAGCCCAGGGAGGCACTGGGGCAGTGCAGGGGCCAGCGAGCAATTTTTGAAATGGCCGGCACTGTCCGCGTGCGACCGAGGTGGAAGCAGGCCTTTTCTGGGCCGAGGCGTCCTGCCCTGTGCTGAGCGGGGTCAGGGCCTGTCTCCTGTCGCTTCGGCAGAGAGCAGTCCAGGACTGATGTGAAAGGTGACATTTCAACAGCCGCCCCGGAGGCTGATCCTCACTCCCGGGCGCTCTCTCCGTGGCCCTAACTCTAGGAACCAAAAAGGTGCTGATTCAGCCGTGCCAGCTGGATTCGACTAAAGTGAAAACAAACCAACCCAAAGTCCGTTCGGGTCCCGGAGGCGAGCCGGCGGTTTGTATCTTTTTAGGGCTCGTCCTTTAAGCGCTGACCCTCGAAGGCTTTGAACTCAGAGGCCTCTCACTTCAAATAGACCAAGGCTGCAGAGTGAGGGTATCCTGCTGGCTGGTGCTCCCTGCAGCACTGGAGCGGATGCATAAGATGTGGTGCGGTCGTGAGCGCCGCCGAAGTTTGTTACTGTCGAATGGGACACGTCGAAGATGTGCACACCCGGGCGCCTGTGCCTTCTCTCTCGAGATCAGAGCCGCGGGTGCTTTCACTGGCTCTTGCCAAGGGACAGAGAGCTTTGCCGCCAACAGCTGTCACTGATCCGTTCGTTTTGGGTTATCACAGGTTACTATCTAGAGGAAGTGTAAGGAGTTATGTGCCATGCTACATCTTGTTCAGGAAGGCTACTGCAGACATTTCTACAACATATACAACTGCACGTGACATTCTGTGTTACAAAGGTTTCAAAACATACCACCAGGACTAAGTACATACTTGATGGCATCCAGGTTTTCAATTTAGAGTCTTCACAGACTATAACATAGTCTCTGCAAAGGGCAAGTAATGCAGTGTCTTACAGACAAATGTGGAAAAACCGCTATTCAAAAGTTTATTAAATTTGGTCAGTCTCATAGTGCTTCTTGATGGCTTTGATCAGTAAGTCTTTTTTTTTTTTTTGTTTTTAATCTCATCCAGTGGCAAACTACAAGACTTCAGTGTACATTTAATGACACAACTGCTACATCATCTTGATTTTATAGCTATCTTTAATATCAAAGCAGCTTAAGCTGTTAATAAATTCCAAAGTATCCTTTTATTAAAATATCTAAAAGAGGTCTATAAATATTTTTTTTTCTAAAAGTGTTCCCAGTTTTTCACATTTAAAACAAAGACGGGGCATCTGTTCTGCTTGGGTTTCGTTGTCCCCTTCCACGGAGGGCCAAGAGGCAGAAGACAAAGGCTGAGCTTTCCCTTCGCTTTCTCATGAACCCAGTGGGTTTTCTCTTCTGTTGTCAGTACGTGATATAATTAACAAAATATATATATGTGTGTGTACGTGCACTCCAGGACGCCCGCACTCATCGGCAGCCCAAAGGGCTGGGCAGATCCCCGGGCACGGGGCGCGGAGGCGCGGGTCAGAACTCCCACTCCAGCGACTCTTCTCGGTTCGCGGCCCGCTCTAGCCGGTGGATGATGTTGCTGAGGTTGGCCATCTTCTCGTGCCTCCGCTGGATGTTTGTGTTCAGCTTCGTGCTCTGCTGTAACGAGCCTGTGTCTGTGGCGGGACTCGAACTCTGCACTTTGGCAGAGGCGGTGTTTGGCAGTGATGGGGAGATGGGAGCGGAGGAGGAGGGGACCGGCGAGACGGACATCATGAGGCCTGGAGAGGAAGCTGCCGAGGGAGAGTTCAGGGAGACCTCCAGGCTGCAGCGGGAGGACTCCGAGGCAGATTTAAAGCTAATGGGGTCAGGATGCAGCCTCTCCCCACCCTCCGGCTCCTGGGGCACGTGCTGGGTGGAGCAGTCGGCAGTCCCAGCTGCGTGCGCCTTGCTGGATGCATTGCTGCTCCGTGGGAGGCTGGTGGTGCTGGGGGGGGCCCTCTGGGAGGCCCCCGCACACGTGGTATCATCCTGCTCTTCCTTGAGGCTGGGATGCTGAATGGATGTGGCCACGAGCTCCGGCTCCCTGTCCAGGCCACACAAGTCCCAGTGATTGTAACACTCGCCTTTTTCCCCGGGCTCCGGCTGCTCCTGTTTGACCTGGACCAGGGCCTCGCTTGACCGCCGGGGCTCCGCATCTCTGAAGACCGGCTTCCTGTCCTCCGCCTCTGAATCGGGGCTCTGCGGGTTGGTGCCTCGGAGCGAGCTACCGGCCAGTGAGGTGCCCCCGCAGCCACCCTGCTCCAGGTCCGTGTCATCCTGGGACCCTTCCACCAGCATTTCCCGGCGCATCCGAGACCTGCGACACAAGCACGGCGTGGCTGTAACCGTGGCACGGGACCCTGCGTGGCTCTGGCTGGCTCCGCACGGTCACTGTGCCGCGGGGGGATGAAGCCCCTGGGGGCCTGGCATGTGTAGGGCCGTGGGCTGGGCTGGGGCAGCACGTGGGCTGACTCAGTGGCTTTCGGGCTCATTGGCCCTGCCAGAAAACTAACTGAACAATGCATCCCCTCAGGGACATGAGCGGCAGGAGACAGCCAGCAGCCAGGTGGAAGGAAACAGCTCTGCTCTTTTTTTGCCCCTTTCCCCCCCACTTTTTCAATACGTTTTTAACCACACGGAGGCAAATTCAATCTGGAAAAGTCAGAGCAAACCGGAGTGCGGCACCACTGCTGCGAGAAATCCCCGGGAGCTGATGCTTGGGCCTGCCCACACCCTGCTCCGGTCCCCTCGGTCATTCCCCATGGGTCCGGTGGGGGCCGGACGGCAGAGGGAGCACCCTGCGCCCTGCCGTGGGCCCTGCACCCTCGGCCAGCCGGGTTCTGCTTGGGGCTGCGGGACGCGCAGACTCTCCAGCGCACCCGGGGCAGGGCCTGTCTCGGCCCGTCTCCTGGAGCGGTCACCCCCAGCCCCCTCCCCCCGGATGCCAGGCAGACCCTCGCCCGCTTCTCGTGTCCAAAAGCCACAGCCAGAGCCCTGCCTAGCGCCCGTCCCCCCAGACCCGCTACCTGTAGTTGTGGAACCAGTTGATGACCGTGTTGGTCTTGAGGTTGAGCTGGAAGGAGAGCAGCTCGATGGTCTGCTGCGAGGGGTAGGGCTCCAGCTGATAGGCCTTCTTCAAGGCCTCCTTCTCCTCCGGTGCCAGCACCACACGGGGCTTTTTGATCTGGAGGAGGCTGAGGTCCTGGGGCTGGAGGCTGGGGCTGGCGCACTCCGAGCGGGCGTTCGGCGACTCGCTGTCCGAGCTGGCGCTGATCAGCCCGTAGCGACGCTTCAGATACGCTGCAGGGGCGAGAGGACATCCAGCCCGTGTGTGAGGCGGCCTGTGCTGCTGGCAGCTTCCCCCTGCCCTCCCTTGCTGTGGGACCACTGGGCACCCCCGGCAGACCGTCAGGAGAGCATCTGCCATTGAACCGGCCATGCCGAGCTCCGGAGCAGCACGGCCTTGCTGCAGGAAACCCACATTGCTGGGAAGTGCCCCTGCCTCACGCACTGGTGCTTCATCCCTCCGGAGAGCCGGGAAGAGCCCCGCACTGAAGGGACGGGGAAGCCGTCACATCCGTGGCCTTTCTGCCCATCTCCCCAGCACCCTCCCCACCAGGAGGAGTGGGATGGGCTAGGCATCCTTGGACAAGAACCGCCTTGTTTGTACCAATCAGCCCCCCAGTGCCATCAGGCAGCATTGCTCATTAGCCCTCGATCGCATCACACTCGATCCCAGGAGAGGTCCAGGACGGCCCGCAGCCCGGGACATCCCTGCCGCAGTCCACGTGTGTAGAGCGGGTGGCACATCTCACCTCCTGACTGACGCCAGCGTGTGACTGGGGTCAGACCTGTGCCTTGGGAAGCCTCAAAATGCCTGGGGCCAGCTCTGGGCAGCCCCTCTGGACCGACCCCGGGGATGGACCAGGCCCAACAGCTCCAGGCATGCGGCGCTCACCTTTCTTCTCCAACTTCTTCATGTCGCGCAGCTTCTCAACGTTGTGCGGGTCATTGAGCCAGAGCTGCATGCGGACAAAAGGCTCCCTCCCCTTCAAGCTCAGCTTGTGCCAGGGCTTGGGTCTGGAGAGGAGATCGGACACCGAGCCCTGCGTCAGGCCCAGGATGCTCTCCCCGAACAGCCGTTGGCCTTGCGGAGGAGAAGCAGAAGGGGGTTAGACCGCACGTGCCCACAGGGCGGGCTCCTGGGCATGCGAGCCCCATGACAGGCCCTGGGAGCAGTGTAGGACCCCGTGGCCTGGCCAGGGTCCCCTGACACCAGGCTCTGGCTCCACCACCCCATGAAGCTGCCCCTCCGACGGGCCCAGCCCTGCCTCTATTCCAGCCCATGGAGTTGGGGGGACTCGGCTTGCCCGAGGTCGGAGAGGAGCCAACTCTCCCGACTGAGCCAATGCAGTGGTGTGTTGTACGACGGACGTGGCTGGGCCAGCCTGACCCCAGCGCTGTCCCACCTCGCTGCCGCCTGGCCGGGAAGAGCCCTGCTCAGCACCGGCCTGGCCACAGGGAGCTGACCCGAGACCTGGGGGCGCCGTCACTGCTGCGTGCCCGCACCCGCCTCCCCACTGCCAGCCCGAGGCCCTGGAGCGGGGCACATGCGCGATCCCAGGAGCCGCCCCGTGTCCGCACCTAGGTTGTTGTCTGTCAGCACCTCCTTGACCTTCTTGGTGATGGCGTAGGTGTCCAGCTCGGGAGACATGGCGACGATCTCTTGTATGCCCATGGGGCCCTGGCTGCTGGGGTACGTCTTCCCACCCAGCGCGGAGCCTGACCTGCTCTCCGGCTGCTGGTTCTCCTTGCTGCTCTCCAGGGCGAGGGTGAGCGGCTCCTGGGGGGTCTTCTCATGCTCCGAAGGGCTGGGGGGCGGCGAGGGGGACGACTGGGTGTCTCCAGGACTGGCTGCAGGGCACAGGCAGAGAAAAGCATCAGAGCGGCGTACGAGAAAGGCCTCGGAAAGGCTCTCGGGCAAAAAGGCAGCAACGCTGGAGCAGCACCACGACACGAGGGGAGAAATCCCATTGGAAAGGGGCTTCAGCAGAGCTGGCTGGACTGGCACAGGGTGAAACCCACCTGCAGAAGGGCCGGCAGGGACTCCTCAGTTGCAGCCCTGGCACTGGGCAGAGCCTGGCAGACACCAAAGGCCAAAATCCCAAGCAGGGTCCGGCTGATGGCACAGTCGCCGAGGCTCAGTGCCCGCGGCTGCAGGTTGGGAGGTCCCCTGCCAAGGCCCCTGTGCCGTGAGCTGAGGGAAGGGAAGGTCGCGTGCGATTGCTGCAGCAGCATGTGCCGAGGCTGCCGTGGGCACAGCCGCCTGGCAGGACCTGGCCGGGCCTCGCACGCCCCACCGCGATGGAGCAGGCTCTCTTCGGTGCTGGGTGAAGCGCGCCAGTGGTGTCTTGGTTATGGCAGCTGCCCCCAGCTCTCTGCCAGGAGGGTGGGTGGCTGTGCAGAGCCCTGGGCCCTTGGGCTGTTACCCACCCCCAGGCCATGCAGGCAAATGCCCCCCGGCAGCTCCCACGCAAGCCTCAGACTCAGAAAAGACCAGCCCCGGGGCGCACTGGGGACTGCCCTGGCCACCAGCCCCTGCTCCCGAATCCTGCCCCTTCGCACGCCACGGGGGGGGAAGGCATTTAAGGGCAAGCGAACCGTCAGTTCGAATGGGCCTGTTGATACCAAAATCCCCGATAAACCTGCCCACTAATCTCCTCTAATGCCATCCCCTCAAGCCTTTCCCTTTTGCTTAACGACTGTCAATTCCAGTCAAGTTTGATGCCGTCTGGGTCAGACGGGAGCTGACGGAGATTCCCGTCCTGCAATAAATCTCTGGCAGCTCACGTTCAGCGCTCAGCTGGGGGAGGACAGGGGGAGATGGCACTGGGGCTGCGGAGGGGGAGAAATCAATGAAAACTAAACTGTGAATTTGAATGTTGTTTATTGTGCCGATCTGCTGTCGACCGACGCGGCCGGGAGAGCCTGTCACGGCCTTTCCAAAGGGGGGAGAAGAAGGGCCAGTCTTCCAGGCGGACGCTGCCAAGGGCAGCAGTGGTGAGAATAATCAAGGAGAGAAAATGCAGCATTAACATAAACCCCCGGTCACTGCTCTGTTCCAGGCACGAGGCCAAGCGCTGCGCCGGGCTCCCGTTTTTCCCCCTTTATTACACGACTATCAGAAAGCATCTCCGACACAATGCTGCGCAGAGGACTCGTGCAACAACCCGGTCCTGTCCCACGTCCTCGCGAAGGGGTCAGGGAAGGGCTGGGTGCAGCAGCACAGCAGCTTGGCAGAGCCGGACGAAGCAGCCTTTTCAAAGGCTGACGGCGCGAGGGGCGCCGGGGTGCTAGCCTGGAGATGCAGGCCCTGGCCGGGGGGGTGGAAGGGGCACGTGGGGGTGAGATTCACCACACAGCCAAGCAACAGGAGTTCGTCCATGCTGAATTCAAAGGAGGTGAAGGCAGAAAGCACCCAGGGGTGCTGTCAGAGATGGGACAAAAGGCTGACTGCCCACTCCCTTATGAATGCATCTTGCCCCGGCCCGGCTAGTTCTGTCCCGCTGGAGCTCACGGTG